ATAAAATTATATATAATCTCAATGCATGTTTCATAATTCTTCATTCCCTACATTTTGACGGATGTTTCATGAAAATCGGTCGAGTGCTTCTACATGAAACAGCCAACTCACCCCCTTGCACGGCCAACTTTGAAGCCTAATTTCACCCCCTAAAAGTGATTATCCGCCGATAAAAAAAAAAATACGGATCCCTTCGATTTTAGTCCTCTATAACATATTTAAAAAAGAACAAAATCGGAGGGGGACACCTAAGGTACCTTCCTTGTTAGAAAAATACAAACATTTTGTCATTTCGTGTTCTGCATTTTGAATTTCGAAATTATGTTGTCATATTTGGATTCAGCGGCCACGAGTATTGTGAGAAACTTATCTCGCAATCGGCCCTTAGGCGGTACCGGATCGTTCCTGTCGCGGCATACGGTGGAGCGGTGGTTCGCGAGGCGGAGCGCCGGGGCGCGTCACACCGCGAAGGGAGGAATCGCGAGACAGAGCGCCGGGGCGCATCATGCCGCGAAGGGAGGTATGGAGTTTACCGCGACGAAAAAGCGGTTACGAAGAACAGAGAATTTTATTTTTCGGATGTACAGAGCCTCCGGCTGTTCGCGACAGGCCGTGTACAGTCGACTCTCGATGGGTCCTGGAGAATCCGTATTTATACCAAGAAAGGCCTTAACGCTGTCTTACTCTAACTCCGTCTCTTAAGCAGACCTCTCTCTCTAAAAAGTTTTGGCGAGGCTATGCCGGGTTTTCTCGCTCAAAGCGGCACGCTGCGCAGGACTTTTCCGAGGCGACCTGGTGGCGCCGGGACCGGAGGCCCAGCGTCGCCACGGCCCCGGTTTAATTTAGTCTTCTGATTAATCCTGCGGCCGCCTGGCCCTCGCGGGATCAGAGGATAATGGAGATGGGGTGCGGAAAGTCAGAGGGGTGGGGAAAGGTAAAGGGATAGAGCCGAGGCCCGATACGGGCCCTCAGGTGGCCTCCCTCCAAGTCGCGGTTTATGACGGCCGGGGGAGGCGGAGAGGGGGGATCACGCGTCTGATCGCGGAATTTAGATCGTGCCGGACACGAATCCGGGAATAGGGGAATTTTCCTGGATTATTTGCTTTTTTGGTTTTACTCCCTTGCACGGGGTAGGCGCCAGGCGAGCAGACCTGGCGCGGCGGTGTACGGGTCGAGAGGGACACATACGCCGGGTGACGGCCCCGGGGCGCTCAACCCGGCGGCAGGGTATGAGTAGGCCCCGAGTGTGAGGCGGTCAGATGGGACTTGACCATGGGAATGAAGGAGAGGGAAAGAGGGTCGGGCCCAGCGACGAGACTCCCGAATGAGCGCCTCGGCTGTACCCGTTGGGTCCGAAGGGAAAGGAATTTTTATATGGTTTGGGAAAGTTCCGCGAGGGTCGGTTATGCAAGCGCACAATACATATTTTTATGAACATTCAACCATTTATATATTTTTATTCGCCATCTTGAATTTCGAAATTCTGTTGCCAGATTTGGATTAAGCGGTTATGAAAACCATGCTGCACCGTTTTTCATAATGATCCAATCATTTTGAAATTATATTATTCGCCGTATTTGAACCGCCATTTAAAATTTTTAAATTCGTATTCTGTTGTCATATTTGTATTTAGCAAATCCAAGATTCCAGAGAAATCCCTCTTTCTTATAAAAATCAAATCAGTCTGAAATTTTTTGTCCGATATTTTCAATTTTGAAATTATATTATCTGACGGCTTAAGCGATCTCAAAAACATCTAGAAACTTTTTTTCTATAAAAATTCAATTATTTTAATGCTGCGATGGGTATAGTTCCTTTTCGTTCAGCGCGAAGCGGTGTCGCATGTTGGCTGCCCAAGAACTATGACACTCCACCTATCATTCTGTGCGAAAAAGTAGTCTGTGACTGGGCCGACGACGATGATGATAACAGAATCACGATTCTGAGAGTGTTGAAAAACTTTAAGTTGCTATATCTTCACGTAGGTACCAGCGATCGAAGCCGGGTAAATCTTAAAAAATTCCTGATTTTATATTTGTTTTTTTAGCTGATTAGAAATTCCTTTCTTTTCCTGTAGAAATGGAGAGAGTAGATTCCCATTTCTCCCACTCCTGAAATCTCGATCCTTAGCGTATATAACTCTGTAGCGTCTTGCCCGAGCTCAAACGCGCAGGGCGCGTTTCTCTCACCACACGACGCTGTGAGTTTCTCGTTCAAAAATGTATTTGGCTCGAAACTACCGAGTTTCTTGATAATATAAAAGATGTATACTTTACTAATAAGAAAAAAGAAACATAATATTTTTTAAATAAAATTTATTAGAAAAAGTTTGGAAAATTAATTACAATAAAAAGTGAAATCTCCTCAAAAGACACCTTGGATGTAAAAAAACTTCTCCAAATATCTTCTTGTTTCTTTCTTAAGTTACAAATATAATTCACACCCTTTTTTTTTTAATAAATGGAAATCAATTATTTTTGCCAAATATGTTAGTACTTCCATTTTATTAAATACTCAAATCAGATATTATTGCCAAATAATTGTACATTTTGTTCCGCATAATACAAGTAGATTTATTCTAAAAATGATATTATCACTTAAAATCATGTGTCTATGAAAATCTACTGTTTTCTATTTTTATCTAACCAAATAAGACTTAAAACTAAATCTGATGAAATAAAAAAAAATTAAAAACTCAATTTGAAAACATTTTATTTGGCGAGCACTGAAATACTGACGAAAAGTCCAATGAGTATACTTCGGGTGCGCACTAAATAAAATGTTTTCAAATTGAGTTTCCAATTTTTTTTTATTTCATCAGATTTAGTTTTAAGTTTTATTTAGTTAGATTAAAATAGAAAACAGTAGATTTTAATAGACACATGATTTTAAATAATAATATCATTTTTAGAATAGATGTACTTGTATTATGTTGAACAAAATGTACAATAATTTGCTAATAATATCTGATTTGAGTATTTAATAAAATGGAAGTACTAACATATTTGGCAAAAATAGATGATTCCCATTTGTTATTAAAAAAAAAACGGTGGGAATTATTTTTACAATTTAATGAAGTCGAAATGTCACCAGGACAGTCGTCCTGGCGACATTTTTACTAGTGATGAATGTAAAAACTACTGCACTGGAAAATTATTATCAACAGCTGGTTTATATACTGTAACGGGCCCAAATTCATAGTACGCGAAGCGGTGCGGCGACCATTAGTTCGGCGCAATTCGGGCATGCGCGGTAACCTTTCAGAATAAGTAGAATTTGGGGGGGCCCTGGGAAGGGAGGCCTCGGACCGTGAGCGCGACGCACCGTGGAGAGAGCGCTCTTTTGTATTAGAACGTTTGAATCGAACATTTCGCGTAGACTCAGTCCCCTGAATTTTGAAACTTATCCGGAAACGCACGATTGTGCTGAATCTAAATTCGTTTTGGAGTACGAGAAAACCGCAGAAAGAACCTCGTTGGGAAACTGTTTGTCCCTCGGTGACCGAGCATTGCCGCTCACGATTCGAGTGTGGACAAAACATCTCGATAAGAACGAATGCGTTTGATTTGATTATTTTCAGGTCCCGTGTTCCAGTAAGCCTGGCATAGCGACCACACCCACATCCTAGTTCATTAAAATCCTGTCTATAAAAATCCTACCCTCGTATCCTCCAAATCGCACGTTGCGACTGATAGCAGAATTCCCAGTCCAGAATACCTTAACCCAGCTAATATCCGCGGCTAGATAACATAATTTAAGTAACACTAAAACCCGGAGGAATTACCTCCGGATGACACATAGATCCGTGGTTGATTTTAGTTCGCGATCCCAAATTGAGAGGCTATTATTTCAAGTAAGGCTGATCAGCCATCCGAATTAGGTCCCAAATTCTCATCTCAGTTATAAATTAACAACTTTGTATTTCGATCCCGCCAACGGCTAAGTTTCAATTCAGATGCGTCGTTAAGAATTCGAAACGTGGAGAAGGAAAACGCGGAGAGACGCGGGGACGGTTATTAAGTCCGATTTGAATCCTACCCCAACCCACACAATCCGAATAACCTTTACATCCCATGGTTCCATATTCCTTGTGGATTCTATGATGAACAAATATAACGCACCGAAGATGGAATAAGTCGTTCTCACTGAGAATCATTTCCATTTCCTTTTTCTTTCATTTTCTTATCAGAACGCGTGAGTTCGGGGATACCCCTTTAATCTAATATGGACGGCACCTATTTAAATTAAAGGTTCCGAAAATTCGGAACCTTCCCAGAAATATAAATCGCCGAATTCTACTCTAGATCGGACGGCGATCGGACTAGCACTTAGCGTTAGAAAAACTCGCTCGAACCGTCCGGAATCCGGACACGCTCAGCTGATCGCTCGTCAAACGCTATCCTCGCTCTTTCGCCAGTCTCTTTTTCATTTATATTTTAGAATTTTAATTAATTTCGGTCTCAGGAGTCGTGAGGCTCGAACCCTCGAAAAATGCAGTCTTTCGGTGCATAAGCACGGATCAAACTGCATACCATTAGAATATATATGCTGAGAATGGCTAATTGAGATAGTTTACCAACAAGTGCAATAATCAGACATCACATTAACATTGTATATGTAGGACATAGATAACACAAATAAATGTAATCAAACACAATAACTAAAGTATAAAAAGCTTGCGATTTGCCGTACAATTTTGTTAGCTCCAATTTTATATACCCTTATGGTTTGTTGATTAAATATTGTTTATGATATAAATATGTGATTATAAGTATTTCAACTTGTGAACGTGTGTCATTGTATACACACTCAAATTTCCTGCCTCCTCACATTAAAATGCAATTATTAGCAAAATATAAAAGTAATAAGAAATTAATCCTCAGTCCATTTACGACGACTGTTCGAAGAAGGAACGATTGACTAGGACAAATTTGTTGGCCTCAATTTTGAAGGCTTTCACCGTCTAAATGATAGAATCAAACACCTCGATAATATCTTACCTCTCCATTCGTGAAACCTTGAGAACTGCCTTTAGTAAGGGACTCCATAATGGCCTTATTTTTCTGTAGATCTTCTTCGCTAAGATGTTCTCGCCTTTTTCGACTCTCTAATACCATGCCATTAATTTGGTAAAAGTCAGCATGAAATGGCCCCACCAATTCCTTTCAAAAAAATTGTAGAATTACCTTATAATTTTACATGATACATGGTTTCTAATGAGTTAAGAATATTATTAATTTACCCTTCTATCTTCTCTGAATATCCATCCCGTTTGCGCCCTCGAAAACGTTATGCTTTTAGTCGACATTTGAGCTGCCATTATATCACTAGACATAAGGATATCTACTTCGTCTTCAATTTCCAATTCAGTCTCCTAATCAATAAATGAAAGTAGGATTGATTTTACTATCAACATCACAAAGTAACGTAATACAATACATCATTAAAGTCTCCGCGACTGTTGTTCCTCACATGCGAATGGATTTCCGGGTGGGAGCCGTATAAAAATTTAGTGAACCGAATTAAAAGAGTGACACCTAATTGGCAAAGTTCTCATAGATGTAACCTAATTGGAAGACCCTCTATCGACCCTCATCACAGATGAAACCTAATTAGTAGTTAAAAACAGTCGCCAGTTCTTCGATAATATAAAAGGCATTTCCAACAAGTGGAAGTACGATTACATCAGAGTCTCCTAGCTCTAATGATGCCCGCTGCAACGCAGATGAAACGTCGACAAGACAACAAATTTATACGCAATTCCTACCCGGAAGCTAATTCGTAACCATAAAACACCCATTATCATGCATTACATGTTATTTCAGTCGATGCCTAGTCTACTAATCAATCAAGCAATTTGATGGAAAATGTAACTCAAACAGTCATTTTGAAACGATAGAAGATGAAAACAGAACAATTTACACACAAGCATACTAATTATATAACTATTCAATTAACTCGTTACTGTTTAGCTACAGTATTGCATTAGTAAAGATCAATCAATTGGAATATGCTATCACCTCGTATCTGACTCTTTGAAAGAGTTTGGCCTTATTGTCGAGAACGGTAAGTGACTTGCTAGGTTTTTGGTCTCCATTGAATATAAAGGATATGTCTCCCCTTTCCCATCTCATGTCATTGAAATCCACTAAAGTCGTGTCCATTCTTATCGAAGCACCACTTTTGTGTATTCTACAGATGTCTGATGGAAGTATTCTCGAAACCAAAGGAACTGAAACAAACAATTTTAAAAACCGTATCATATAATATATATTAGGAGCCATTCGTCGATAAAACTTTTCCACAACTTTGATTTAGCTAACAATGTACAATTATATAAATTTGTATTGCAGAACGAGTAGTGTAGCGAACAAACGGAAAACATTATGCTGAAGTCTTTGTGCTTTCTTAATAGAAAGCACAAAGTTGGGTTGGGTTAATACCCAACCTAACTCAACTCTTATCACTCCAACCGGTAGTAACAGTGCCAACTTCTAATACTCTTCTAACATTCTTGGAGTGATAAGGGTTAATAACTTACTAATCTATACTAATAATATTATAAAAATAGAAAGTTTGTTTGTGTTAGGGGTAATCTTGAAAATGACTGGGCCCATTTTTATCGAATTTTTACGGATGCCTTATGATTTTTCGAAGGACCCAGGCTTTGTTTTATTGCTCTTATCGCACCCGAACGCTTATTGAAGAATAAAGACGTCAATTGATTATGTAATCGTGAACATCACAGCGCGAAACTACTCATCGAAACATTGTTATATCACCGCCGACTCAGCGACACGGTAGTAGAACTGAGTTAAAAGAATAAATTATTGTTTAATACCTGTGCAATTGAAATTATAAGGAGAAGCTGAGGGGAAAACTAGTTATCTATGTTCTGATAAAACACTTGTTGATAACTTACTAACATCTATTATAGTTCAGTCGTAAACCACGAAGAAGTTTTATAGACGAAGATGTTAATTATTACGTGTTTAACACACTCAAACTTGTTGTTAAGGATTTGGTAGCATTCGTGTATGCACATAAAGCTAACGCATACGTATGTATGTATGGATAAACGTATATAGTGCGAAACACTACCGAGTTTCGTGATATTAACAGATTACATGTGAGTTATATTTCATATCTGTGAGATATATTTTGCCAAATGCAACATTCATACTTTAAACAATGATTTAATTTTGTTGTAGTATTTGGTTTATTCTGTAGTAAACGTAATGAACAGTATGTTGCACTTAAAATACTCTCTTGACAATACATACGCTTTGGACGGAGGCTCTCTTACAACTAACTCTTAACTAGTACGCGGGAAGGACGCTGAGATGTCAGCACCTCCAGACCAAGAGCAGATGTCCCTCATACTCAACAAATTTATATCCTGTGACGATGCACCCGGTGGGCGATCGCACCAGGGATTTTTTTTTTTGGTGTCATAAGTTGCGCGTAAAGCTTAGGCGTTAGGACGTCCTCGCGGTGAGGCGAGTACGGACAACACGACGCCAACATCCATCAAGGGACAAGGGCGCTCTCGAGGGACCTCAGAAGAGAACAGCAACGGTACAGGAGCCTCGCCTTGCCGCCGCCCATGAGTGCCGGGGCCGAGCCAAGCCACCCGCGGGCCCGCGCTTTACGGCAAGGGTCGACCCATGGCGGCGCCGCTGGGTTATCGCGTCCATACCCGGATTTCCGGCCCCTCACCGATAGTGGGAGGAGAGCGCATTGCCGGTGGCCGTGGACTCCCCCGCCGTGTCTTTTGACTCAACGGAGTCCCTACAAAGGCGACGAGGGGGGGTTCCGTCTGCGTCGCCCTCCCACGCCGAGGCCAGACCCCGGTGACCCCAGGGCGGAAGGGCCCACTAGTCTCCTCACCCGGAGGCCGTTTCATTGAGTCAGCATCCCCGGGCTACATCTCGAGGAATGTTGGCTCAAGATAGCCTAGGACCGGCGCCACCGAGTCCCCGAAGAGCTACGCCCCTGGACAACACTCATAAGATGACGTCACGCTCCTGCAGCGCGCTCGATTGGACCGCGGCAGCAACTTCAAATCCGTCGCGTGAACCTGCTAGCCGGCCCAGCTCGCGCCGTGGCTGTCATCATACGAAATCTTCGAAATTCTGAACGTGAGCGCTGTCAATTAGCCGACGCAACTTGGCAGCCGACGACGACTAATCAACAAGAACTTCGAACCGCCTTCAAGAAGCCACCGAGCCTGCCTGGAGGACCTCAGGAGAACCGGAGACCCGGTCTTCTTGGTCCGCGAGCGTTAAGCTGCTTAAATGTCGTCGTTTTCTCGCTGCCTTTTCGCCGTCACCCTGTCACAGTTCCCTTGACAATCGCCGCCGCTATCGGAGAGAATCGCCGCCCTAGTGGACTCCACGACACCGAGACACCACCGTCGCACTCGTCGAGCCCAAGGTTTGAGCGTAGCGTACCATTTGTAGTAGATTTTGAATAGAGTTTTGTTTAGATTCCCTTTTTCGCGTTTTTCCGCAGGTAACCTGTCGCCGGGCCGCGCGCCACGCGGTCGGTCCTTCCGCTGTCTGATCGGCTAGGATCCCGCGTGATCGGCTTCTTTTGTTTCTTTCGGCCTAGTCTCGTGTGAGCAGCCATTTTCCGAGTTTGTAGGCCTAGTCACGTGTGAGCGGCCATTTCTCGATTAGGACGGCCTAGTCTCGTGTGAGCGGCCCTTTTAGATTAAAATATTGCATTGCTGCCTCTCTCCTCGGTCGGATCAAGACGCCGTGTCGACCCGAACTCAAGGATGCTGTGTTGAGCCGTCGACACGTTAATTCCCGTTTTCGCGAAGTGCGAATTTCATTTAATGTATGTCATTTTTCGCGAGGCCCGAATTTTCAGGGTCAATTTCCTTTTTTTCGCGAAGTGCGGACCTTCGAATACATTCATGTCGCGAAGTGCCACCCGTCATAGTAGGAAAGTCCGTTTTCGCGAAGTGCGACGCGTTATATTCTAAAATTCCGTTTTCGAGAAGTGCGACTGGTTATAATCTAAAATCCCGTTTTCGCGAAATGTAAACCCTTCTGTAATCCCCTCTTTTCGGGCTGGAAATTTTTGGTAGAACCTGCCTTCGATTTGATAGTTCCACGTAAAAATCGTAGAAACTGAAGATTCCCGATTGAATTACTTGTCGTATTTGAGTGATCTCAATCCGAGTATACATAGTCGGATTCTCGTTCTTTCCGAGCGAATATCGCGTATGAAAATATAAGGTGTCCGAAACTTTACGAATCTCGCATAGAATATTTGCACTGACCCTTTTAATATTGCTGCCTTTTCTTGCGCTTTTTTTTATCTTTTTTGTGTTATTACTGCCTTAATGGCCGAAACCTGTAATTTATCTTGCTTGCGTATTTAATTGATTGCCGTCTGTTCACCTTTCAATAATTTCCCCGCGAAGTTCGTTCGTCTTTCCCGATTTAATTTAGTTCCGCGTATGTATATACGTGCGTGCAATTCTTACTTTTCGCGTTGTCTTTAATTTAATTAATATTCTTGTCCCGGAGTCGAGCTCGACCTTATAGTCGACAATATAGTTTCCCGTAGTTTTGCATTTTCTGGCTGCTAAGAGCCACCGTTTCTCTTCCGTGCGCCTAGCCGCGTGCATCGTTCCTTCGAGCGCGAGCGCGCTCCGTCGCCCGGGCCGGTACCGGACTGTGAGACCGCCCGTGGCCATTTTGAAACCGTTGTTAAATTCTTTTCATTTGTCAATAAATAGGTTATTAATTTAATTTCGCCTCTGGTTTGCTCTCTCGAAAGGACCCCGCCCTCTCCGTGGTCGCTTGGACGTACTGAGCTAGCCCGGTTAATTTTCGTCGTCGGCGACGCTGTGTCTCGTCTCGTATTGCAACCTTCCGTTCAATTTTTACGTGTCCTTTCGGGGACTTTAGGATAATTTTCGCGTTCCGTTAGTTGAGGAACCGACCCTTCGGGCCTTATGCTGGTGCAAATCCGTGGGTGGGTTGGGAGGCTCATCGCTGGTGCGTGGGCTCTCGTACGCTGGTGTGAGCCCCAACGGATTGGGCCCGTACGGTTCGGGTCCCCGATTTGCCCTTTGGAGGGCCTAGAGCCCAAAAATTTTGTTGCTGTTGAGCGAATACGAGACGAAGACCCCATTGTTACATCATTTATTTGTGACTTCGCCAGAGGGTTGGAACATTAATTGCCAGAATTCTGTTTGGGTATTATGTCATTAAAAATAACGTCACAATCAATAACTTGATACGTGTACTAAAGGCGTGGTTTTATAAAATTATCATTGTAAACAATGGCCTACCAAAACGGTACGATACACCACAGAACTTATAGAAATGATGGGAACGCAAGTAAGGGTGGGGGTGTTCAGAGGAGGTTAGGTTGTAGGAAATTCTTACTACGCAAGAGTAGCATATACTGTAGCATATTGTTGCAACTGCTCTATTTTGCAAAATTATGGAAACAAACTACAAAAAAAGATCAGAAACGAGTGCACCAAATTAATTATTGTTCAAGATGAATAAATTTCGCAATGAAGAGGAAAGTCTCTTTGCATGTTTTGCATTATTGCTTAAATTTCGTGTATGAAGCCTCTTATGCGCACGCAGTATACTTGCCGATAACGCTTAAAAAGAAAAGGTCCCTCTCTTTGTTTTACCTTCTACGGACGCGTAAACATATTAACTGTGACGTGGTATTTTGTATTGGAAAATACCGTCACAAAGATTTGACCACCAGAGGGAGTACAATGTGGCTGACGGAGGATGTAATGGAGTGGGGCGGTGAGGGCCTCAAACCGAATTTTTATTAACACTAGAACGACCGGCAGATTTTTTTTTTATACAATGAACCATTTGAAACAAGTCATTACGACCCTTCTTGATAGTTCTAGTGTTAATAAGTATGTCCCGTATTATTATTTTTATATCTCCTTTATATGGTTTTGTATCTCGCTCGATTGGATTTTTTTGGCATTTAAATACCTGAGTGTAAAGCATATCAGTAGCATTTTGTTGAAGCATTTCCCGTCTTAGTTTCTTTATTTCAGGAGGGCTGAAATAACATTAGGGTGTGTACGATTACAATATCCTGTTGTATTTAATACTTCTAGTCGCTCCTCTGTCAAATTAGACGTATCTGTACTTGTATTATTCGCCGCACTACATCAAGATTCAAGCGGACGCACGGACACGAACTGGCATAATGTGTGAGATGCTCGAC